GCTAATATTTTTAACATATGGACTTGTTCAACAATTAGACATTCCACAGGGATCTGTGCAATTAACTCTAAGATTATGTAATCTTAATTTCTTAGACAATATCAATGTGATTTTTGACAACAGTAAGATTAATTTCACTCATCCTTGTCAACATCATATTGGAGGCAGAATTATGATTTCGAATTTAGTAATTTGAATGTATAAAACGTTAGTGGTAATTTAGTCATTAAAACAGTTATGCATATGAAATTATAATAATATAATTTTGGGGTAAACAAGGGACAATACTCTCATGTCTTGGATGCAATTGTATCCTACTATACGGGACTAGCTACTATTCTTTCCCGTGCAATTCACGGAATATTATTTAAAAAGAAAAAAAGATTAATCGAATACATGACAGTAATAATTATAATTAAAAATAAATAGCAAAGAAAGCGACAAACCGTTCCATTAAGATAAGAAAGAAAAAAAGTCGAAACACAAAATATTACAAAAATATCATTAGAGTTGCTTAATACATTAGAACCTGTATAAATTAAGACTTGATAAATTAATAACCTTGCTTAAATAATAATTTATCTTAGTCTCGACTCGTTGAAAATGTATTAATTTATTAGCTCGATAATTTCATATTGCACAAATTACAGCCACCCTGATACGATTCGGCGCAGCTCTCGCAAGCCAAAACCCAATCCACGCTATTTAACAGATAGCTAGAATGATAGGCACGAGAGAAGTTGAATTAAATATTATTATTTATTTACTTATATTTTGTTTAGTAGTTATTATTAGATTATGGGTAGTTATTGTAGAGAAGTTAATGTATTAATGGGGAACAATGGGAGGAGTTGGTTTTTTTTATGCAAAACGGAACTTGAAGTTTCATCTACAGCAATATATTGCTTCTTTTACCAGGAGATTGTATCACACCCCGAGTCCAAATTACGCAAAAATCCTTCATGTTTAAATAACTACAACCATCCCCTCAACTATATATATTGTCTTACGAGAAAACCCCTCCTTCAGTAGTTAAATTTGACACTATAAGGGTAGACGTGTAAGACAATACAAAGTTAAGGGGTTGTTGTAATTACCCAAACATAAAGAGTTTTTTCGTAATTTGAGCATACCTCAGTGGGTGGCCGTAATGTGCACTTTAATATTTCAATAAAGTAAATCGAATTTTGCTAGTTCACGACTGTATTTGTTTACAAAGAGTTAACTGTAATTACAAAATTATTAGGAAAAAAAACAAACAAAACAAAAAAATTACAAAAACATCATTAGAACTTTGCCAATTGAGCCATTTAACGAGCCCAAACCTTTTGGGCCTCGACCCGACCCGACCCGACCCGACCCACTTTAGTTCTGAAAATTGAATTCAAGTCCGTACCTAGTGTTTCTTCGTCATCTCTCTCGCCTATCCGGATTTGCCTGAACAAAACATTTTCAACTCACACAAAGAAACAATGGCAGCTAATTCTCTTTCAGCTACCTCTCTAACCCGACCCGAATTCAAACAATTCAACCCGAATAAACCCACCCAAGTTGTTCTAAAAACTCAATGGGTCGGCACCATATCCACCAACAAATTGTCGCTCCACTCCTCAAATCTCAGACCTTTTTTTACAAAAAGGCCACCAATTAACGCCACTATTTCATTCAGCCTCCCCACTGCGTAACTTCTCTTCACCCCTTTTCACCACGTGTGTGCATTTTTATTGATTTTTTGTATTTTTTTTAAATGCATTTATGTGGGCATTCTTGGCTAAAATTTGTAAAAGAAAAATTAATCTGTGGGAACTGTAATTTGCGGATATTTATTAATTATTGTTGAGTATTGATGAATTGCGTATATAACTGCCTTGAATTCATGGAGAACTGAGTTAACCTCTGTCTGTTGGATCGTTTTATTGCACGAATGTATTGATTAGTTTTCGGAAGGTTTTTTTAGTTTTTAAGTACAATCGATTTTGAATTACGAACAACTAGTTGCCTGCGTTGACATTAATTTCGGTAGGTATCGGAATTTTGTGTTTGTTACCGTAAAGCTGCAAACTCGAGCTGTACTTTAGAATGACCGATCTTGAATTACATTTATGTTTGAAGTATATGGATAATCTTAATACGTATTAATCGAACAATAGCATTGAGTTGGAAAACTTTTGCGCTTATGTATGAATCACCGATTTCTTTTTTTTTTTTAATGAATTTGCAGAAAGCCGGAGAGAGTTGCTGCCACCGAGAAAATTCCCATGTGAGTTGGAATTCTGGAAACTCGATCTTTTCTACTATTGTCCTGTGAACTGGATTTTGATTAATAAGTAGTTTTTTTTGTTTTGTCGATTATAGTACGTTTCGTTTATTTGGCTTAGTTTATTTTGCAAGTGAAGTGTTTGTGAATTTGGTTGAGTGAAATTATAGATGGTCGTCAAAGGCGATAAAGGCATATGCTATGGGTGAGTTAGAAGCAAGAAAGATCAAATCTCCGACGACCGGCACGGAAGCTATTCTCATGGGAATCTTGATTGAGGGTATGTTGCACCCCCCCCCCCCACCCCCCCCACCATATGTTTAGGTTTTTCGATCTTTGATTAATATCTAGTACACGAGTTACATGATAGACATGGCTTGTCTGTGGTACATTTTTTTGGGCAACTTTTTGTTAAGTTTGATCGTTGAGGGTAAATTACAACTATCCCGTGAGGTATGGTCAAATTACGAAAAAACCTTTCCTGTTTGGATAATTACATCTACCCCTCAACCCCTCAACTGAATCTTCTTACATCCCCACCCTTATGGTGTCAAATTCAACATCATCATCATCTAGATTCATTTGTACTCGTTTTGTGCAAAAATACTGTTTCTGATGCACCACAATATGATATTTACAAGCCAAAAAACACATCTTATGATAGTCTAGCTTCAAAATTTGGAGCTCAAATGGGATAAAACAGATCCAAAATTGAGAATATTTTATATAATCTAGAAGATTCCACTAAATTTGAAACCGCAAGGTGGACGTGTAAGAAGATTTATAGTTGAGGGGTGGTTGTAATTACGCCAACAGGAGGGGGTTTTTGTAATTTGACAATACCTCAGGGTGCTTGTAATTTACCCTTATCGTTGATATTTTAAGCTATGAACGATTCAATAGCAAATTTTACACCGATTTTTTTTTTTTAATATCTATTGTATCAAGAGCTCCAGAATTTTTCAGTTTATGCTCGTTTCTTTTATCAACATATACCGAGGATGATATACGTTCTAATGAAGCTACTATGAAATATTATCAAAAAACATTCTCTCTTAACTTTTGAGTTTGCCCAAGAAAAAACCCGTGTAAGAGTCGAAGCGTGTTTATTTATTTTACTCATCTTATTTCAGTAAATAGTTGTTCATCCGTTATAGAGAGTAATTACCATTGCACGAAAAAAATCTCATCTTATTTATTAATTTTGTCCGAGAGAAAATTGCACCCCTATAAAGTATCTTTAATTGGCAGGAACTAATTTTGCATCGAAATTCTTACGTGGGAATGGAATAACACTACAAAAGGTGCGCGACGAAATTTTCAAGATGCGCGGTAAGCCTGATATGTACTTCTTCAGTCCCGAGCATCCTCCTTTAACTGAAGCCGCTCAGACGACCCTTGATTGGGCTATCGACGAAAAGCTTAAATCTGGTGAGTATGTGTGTGTGTGTGTGTGTGTTTTTTTTTTCTTTTAATATTTATTATCAGGTGAAAAAATTGTTCAAATCTTGAATGGTGAATGTGTATTGTATTGGTAGGGGAAAACGGGGAGATTACAACGAGTCATCTACTGCTTGGATTATGGAAGCAAGAAGAATCGCCAGGTCACCAAATATTGGTTGCGTTGGGATTCAACGATGACAAAGCTAAAGAGCTTCGTTCATTCATATCCGAACCTACATTTGAAGGGGACTCGTAGTTAGTTTCTCGCAGAAAGATCGATTATTTGTTTGTAGCGATGAAATTATTTTCACATGAATCACAAGACTGCTACTATTCAGGTGCCCGTTTTTCTTGTTTTAATTTCATTCTGATATTAAAAAAAATCCGTGGAACGTTATGAAACATATTTGCAATCGAAAATTACGAGTGTATAACATCAATATAAGAGATCAATTAAAGACGCAAAATATTTCTGGGCTGCGCCAAATTATTCACGATATTATTATTTCCAGATTGGTTGAGAAAGTGTACGAGATTAATGATTGCATTTGATCTGGTTAGGGATTTTATGAACGTTACGGTTTTTTAGGTCAACCTATATAGAAATGATTCAACTATGATTCCAATGGTGAAGGCATCAATAACGGTGTCGATAATAATGTTTCTATTCGAATATTTGCCGAATAAATTCATTCAAGTACCCTTTAATTTCTTGAATTTTCTCATGAGTCAAGTGGCAATCTATTTTGATGTGCTTTTGTTCGGTCATGAAAGATCGGATTCGAGGTAGTGTGTAAAGGTAACTTAAGTATCACAAAGTAACGATGGCTTGTCGATGAAGATTGACTCCCAACTATTTCAGATATTCTTTCAACTCTTTCAATACAATCTATTTTCAAAATCAGTGATTCTCCAAGAAATATACAATATCCCGTCTCAGAAATTGTTGTGTCTCGGTTCCTACAATCTAAATCTTCACCTATTACAAATCTCATCAACATATAAATATATCAATTGGGTTCGTTTGTTGTTTGGTTGTCAAGATAAGATTAAATAATCTAATGAAAACACAATTGTTTTATTTGACCCCGAAATATCTAATAAAAAAACTCTTTAAATGCATTGATAACATAATATTTTCAGGTCGACGCGAGAAGTTATTGAGTTTACCAAATATCAAACAAAGTCTGATTATTTAGTTAATCATGACTAATCTCCCCAACCAGATGAGGCCCAAATGAATATAATATTTAATAACATATATAAATTCGACATTGTAATAGAAAATGAATATCAATAACAATAAATAAATAAATAAAATAAAGAAACCACAATCAACATTGCTTAAGCCATAATCATCTTATAGGCAGCCATGGCTGCAAGTTTCCACACACAAGATCTCAAGGCAGAGACTTCAGCCCCAGTGGCGGCCGAAGTAGCTGAGGATGGGGCGGGAGACGGCCCCTCGGCTGCCGATACGGTGATGACGAGCTTCATCCCCTTGGAGCAATGCTCACCAATGGTACAAATATACCACCTCTTGCCAGGTGTCACAAGAGGAATCACGTCATTTCCGGTAGTACGTGGGACCGCCGTTGCGTTTGAAGAAGCGCATTTTTGGAAATCAGACCCATTCACTTTCATTACATTGTGAACTCCAGGTTTATACATAAACACTGCAACCAAAAAGCAAAGATATAACATATAATTAATAATAATATTAGAACTTTGAGGGAATTGCAAAAGCCATTGTGGATTTTGGTAGATCGAAAAAAAGCTAGAGGGATCTTAATTAATCGATTTGATTTCGACTTCTGCTTCTTTGTTTACGATGAATACTTATTATCGGTAAAAGTTATGGAGGTGAATCAGGTGATTAATGGAGTTGATGGATTAGTGTATATATGATGCCGGCTAACAGCGGCATACTCTAGTTTTAACTTTAGCGCTCCAACTAGTATCTTTCAATATTTTCCCTATGAATGTCAAATGGCATTGCTCGAACAATGTACACAATATATATATATATATATATATATATATATATATATATATATATATATATATATATATATATATATATAAATTTAAACCTCTATAAATTAATACAGTTGAGACCATCAAAATTTCATTAATTTAGCGAAATATTAACTTATCGATAAATTAATAATTATTAATTTATACACTAATTAATAACTTATTAATTTATGAAATTACTTTTATTATTATTTTCAATAAATAATTTTTTTTTAATTTTTTTTACGTGTGTATTATTCATTGTACCATTAGTTCAATACACTATAGAGCCCGTTTCACGAGCGGAAACTCTTAAAGCAGCAATAGTATAGAACAATTTTATGTTGAGTTATGAGAAAACTATACCGAAAGTTCTAACCACGTTAAGAAGAGTGAGGAACGAGAATGATGGTAATGTGAACTTTAACAAGAAACAAGCGACAATTAAATTATATATTATTAAACTTTCATAGATCTACAAAATATGTACTGTACCATGTAATTTAAGAATTATTTTCATACATTATTAATTTATATATTATACGGGGCTTATTAAAAATTTTGAATGTGTATTATCTTATAAATTAAGCGAATTATTAATTTAGCACGTTGTCCCCGAGTCGGGACCGGGAAAATTTATTA